TGACGAATTTTTGGTTAAGAAACTCAGATCAATGGTGAGGTCTTGTGGTGATCTCGTAATCACTTCGTTACTGTGCCCGTAAAGACCTTCTATTTTGTAGTATTATGCATTAGTCAGTTGGCGGGTTTATTTCACTGACCGTCTGCAATCGGATGCTGCACTAGAGTTCTCTCCCAGAAATGCGGATTGGAACACTGCATTCCTTGCTCTATTCAAACAGTTCTGTGTAGCGCCTTCGTTGATGAAAACTCCAAGTTCTATTCCCGATAACAAGAGTTTGATTTTTTTTACGTGTTTTGGAACGAATGGTGTTCAAGAATAGTCTCATACCTTCGTGTATTTTATGTGGTCATCTGGTTCCAAAGTGCAAACAGGGCACTTAACTTCAAACACAAACGCCTGCGATCCGATCAATAGAAGTAAATGTTTAGTTCAGTTCAGTTTTTACAACCAATAACCGTGTACTTTCGTACGCCGGTTTTGGTTGCTGTCTTCTGGTCCCCCGTTTGGATCAAAGAGGAGAATGAAGATTGGAATGTTGAAGTCAAACTCAAGCGGAAGATAGAGAATTCACGTCGATTGGTGTTAGAAGAATGATTAGGGGATGCACGAGCACCACTGTTTGCGACACCCAGCCATATCACTGTGTCTCTGACCATCGGTGATCATCAACTCGGTGGCCCCAGACAGGGAGCCTAACGGGGCCTTTGTGACCCAGTCTCCTGGTTAGGGTTTTCGTACCCTCATGCCAGGTTTTAGTTTGACCTCCCTTGGTCTTTTTCCAACCGCTGCCTGCCTCGGCACACATCGCTCGCCGTGGCAACCTATCTGGTGACATGCGTAGCACATGTCTCGATCAGCGTAATCTATGGAGGTCGACTACCTGCTCCAGTGGACGACTGCGGTTACCTAAAACTACGCCTGACTTCATCATTGGTCGTCCTGTTACTCACCAGACTCAGTGCTGCGTAGACAGCGGTGTTCGAACACCGACAATGTATTTTTATCCTATTCCGATAGTGGCCAGGTCTCTGCACCGTAGAGCAGAACTGGCCGAATTACTGCAGTATATACTCGACCCTTCATAGACAACCGGATGTCGCGACGGCGCCACATATGTCTCGAGTTGGCAAATGCCAACCGAACCTTTTGTGTGTGCGCCAATAGGTCATCTTCGATGCGTCCACCAAGTGAGATGTGACTGCCCAGATAACAGAACTTGTCCACTTCTACTACTTCCCCAGTCAGGGTGAAACTGGCTGCTGGACCAACCCAATGTTGGAGCAACATTTTACACTTTGATGGTGCAAAACGCAACCGAATATGGCTACACTAGTGCTCAAACTATCCACAAAATCCTACAACCTACCTGGATCTTCACTTAGTAGCACAATGTCGTCTGCATACACTACATCTGAGAGTAAATTGATACCGCTATCCTCGCACGAGGATGGGACTGTTTCAAGAATTAAATCTATCACGAAGTTTAATAGAAACGGAGAGAGAGGGCAAACCTGTTGAACACCACTTTCCGTGGTGAAATCATGTGAAAAGTGCCGTAAGCTCGGGTTCGGCTTCAGCTATTAGTGTAGAGCGATTGTAATATTGAAGGAAACGTTTCGGGCACACCGCTTAGAGCGTGGCAGCGCCAGAGTCTGGAGCGGTCGACTGAGTTGGAAGCCGCTTTCAGATCGAGGAAGATACAAGTGGTAGGTCTGCGAAAGGAGTGTTTGTGTTCTAGAATTTGATGAGGAGTGAAGATGTCGTTACAACCTCGGCCATGTCTAAAATCAGCCTGGTTCTCACGCGTATACCGTTCACGTGCGGCAGCAATCGACGGAGTATAACACCAGCGAGAAGTTTAGAGACGCTGTTGATCAAACTAATTCCTCAGTGATTTTTTCAAAAGGATCCGTCGTCTTTCTTGTAAATCAGGTTGAGATTGCAACTTGACGTGGTGTGATGGCTTGCGTGCCTCCGTGACTGTGCGAGCTAAACAGTTCAGCTCTTCACAGCGGCAGGTCCAATCATGCCTGAGAGGTCAACGGGTAGAGGTCAAACCTCCTGGTTTCCTACTTCTATCCACAACCGCCCCTGTAGAGGTCACTCCAGCAAACAAACACGGTGAGGGGCAGTTTACCGGTCGAAAACCCCCCGCTAGATTGACGTAGAAACGGAGTACTCGGGGCTTCCACTCGACAGTGGGAGAAGTCTTACCACTTCACTGAACAGTTACCTCCCCACCCAAGCTGGGCAGCCCCCAGCCAATAAGGTGCTGTCCCGTCTACGTTCCGCTTGTCTCAATGGGTGCATGAGATTAAGGGCCGATCCCGAAAAGCGGACCGTCAATCAACACACCAGCGAACAACACATTTAACCGAAAACCGGACACCTTGCGTAACAGAGTTCTCGAAGCTCCGTTCACGCTCCCACGTTGGATTTACACCCCACTGCCTTATGGGTCAGTCTTTTGAATCGAAGGTTCCGGTTATGGTTCCCATAGAAAAACCCCTTCGTCGGTGTGGGCTGCCGCGAAGTATGCCATGCCCTAAAGTCTTAGTTTTGGAAATAAATGATATATGGATTTAGTATGATATCACCATGATCACAAGATCTCCGTAATGGAGGCTTACCAGAGCGACCGGTTATCGGTAGAGCACAACCTGGGTGAAGCGACAAACACGATGAGACTAGCAAGCAGTTGGAATGTTCTAAACCAATCAAATCAGAACGCCAATAACACACGACAGCGTGATACATAGAAAAAACAGATGGTTTGTCTTAATTGAACGGTGAAAATTAACCTGCGTGGTGCTTCAGTGAGTGCAGTAAACAGGTCATCGAAACATGTGATAGCTCATAACCTGATTGAATTTAAACGTTTGGAACCTAGTGCAAATGGATTCGGTTTGGTTACATTCTCCTCGTAATACGAACTGCCCTCCTTGGTTGCACTGAAGAATCTACAATAAAATTAATCAATCCGATCATCTGCGAATTGACAGAATAAGGTTGGGTAGATTCATGCGAAAACCAGAGTAGTGAAGTGTTGTCTTACTCAAATGACCTAAAATGTGAATCAGTTGGATTCATATCAAAATCGAATTTCATTAACTTGCCGAATAACCAAGAACTTTTTGCCGCTATTTTTTGTCTTCTGTCAAGCATGTCTTGATCCTTACCATTCACAATTTAAGTAGTTGGTAGTTCTGTTATAAATTTTCTTCGATTTACTTCTCCTCCTATAATATTTTACCTGTGCCGCTAACAGCACACTCTCCGGATAATACGTTTTTGGGATTCGTTGTTGAAACGCCCGCAAATGGCTCAGTTGTTAACAAGGAAATCATGGACAATGGACTCGTTCACTCCAAATCGGGAAAGCCGGTTGCCCTGGTTTACGGGAAAGAGGCTTATATGTGGGAGGTGATTGTGTTTGTTACACATGAGCATGCATTCATTCGTCCAAATCTGATTGTGATTTCTCTCTATCTCTCTCTCTTCGTATCCTTTTGTTCATTTAAATCCGATTTTTATTGTAGAAGATTTATTGTTTATTTGTTCAGTACGCCTATGTAATGTGCTAGTGAACCGTTTGGTATAACGTTTACACTCGTGGTTATGCTGATGCACCAATAAACCTTCGTGTTCACTCGTTGCTCGTGATCGATTCGGAGTTTGAAAACTAACTCTCAACTCGTTTTATAAACCTCTACGGTTTGTCAGCAGAAGAACAATGGTACTAGCAAATACGGGACGAACTGAACGACTGCTTTCACTGGGAGTCCTTTAAGAAATCCACCGGTACAATCAGCGAAGCTGAAAGTTGTAGCATATCTCCAGGTGGCGGACTGCAGAAAGATTTCTCGGGTAGCACTGCTTGATTCAAGTGACAGTCACAGACAATCAGCCGTGATATCCAAACACCGCGGCGGGTTTTGCCTCATCAACAAAATATCACAAATTTCCCTCGAAAGCATTAAACCATGCCGAAATCCGTTCTGCAACTAAACGAGGGAGTCACCAAGACTCTGCTGATATGAAAGTAGCAGTCTCTCGGGCGTGCACAAAAGCGCATCCTCGAATAGGACGATCGAGTGTTACTGGGGCTACCCTTTTGAACCATACTCCCAAGGCTTTTACAATTTTGTCGTGACCTTGAATTAACCACCAATACACCGGATACAAAGCTACTATAGGAGCTAGTGCGATAAGTGATCTCATCACCGGCCGACTTTTAAATTTCACGTCCTTTATTTATGTTCAGTCTGAAGATGTTTGTTAGCCCGAGCAAACTGCATCATATTCATTCCAAAGGAGTTTTTTGTCATCATAAGCACTGGACTTTTGTGCTCAGTTGTTGATATGCGTAGTAACTCAATATTTCATTTAAAATTACATTATTTAATAAGCCTAATTATTAGTTAGTCATGATACTTACCGGTCGGGGTTTACTTTAAGCTTCTATCGTCATCATTTTTCAATATCGTTATTTATATTCTCTTGTCAGAAAGCACTCAACTATTTGGTCGTTCTGAGTGAATTCTTCGAGGTACATGCGAACGTACTGGATGTTGCTTTAGCTCCTGAATTCAGTTTTGTGATACAACATAACTGCAGCTACGGGGCTAAGTTCAATGCACTGTTGAGATCTGCCAAGGTGAGTGAATTTTGTGCCTCTGTCTACGTATCATAATTATCATCTTCGCCACCACCAACACTAATAATCACAGCTTCTTTTACCCAATTATGTAGTCGATTTTCCGGAATAGGAAAATGGCCAATTCATGGTTGTCAAAGGCGGGTGAATGTGTTATGCAACGTTCATGTGTACTCCTTAATGTGTCTGTGTTTTGACAATCCGACTGACCTTTTGGTCAGCCTCAGTTAATAGTCTTTTGATTAACAATACTGCCATTCCTTGAACTTACAAGGAAGTAAAACACTTCATGGTTTTGTCCTTAGACTCACTCCATGAAAAGCACAACCTTGCATGTTATCTCCTGCAGAGAGCAAGGCGCATCTGTTCGAATGACCATTCAAAGGACAAACTTGAACTAGTGAGGAGAGCCTTAATGGAAAATGGCTATCCAGAGAAGTTTATTGATCGTAATTGGCCTGAACTCGGAAGGTTCTTTTTATAAAACTCATATGCGGCTGACAGGGTTAGTAGAGTCCCATCCGCCGCAGTTAAACCGCTTCGCCGAGATCTGTATTCTCTACTTTACCAAAACGACAAACATAAGCCACCTGTGTTGATCGCATCGACCAGGTGTGCATCAAAACGAAAACACATTGCTGATTAGAATTTTCACTTGCGGTTCAGTCGCACTTTTAGTCGACGAAACTGTCATATGGCTATGGACGATTACAACTCACAGGCTCGTCCACACACTCTCCTGTATCGTTTGTGTGTTTTTGATGGTTGCTTTGCGCTGACCTTTCATTGCTTGTGAAGAACAATTCAGAATTGTCAGTCCCGGCTAGATGGACTCGATGGACTATGACAAAACACATTTGGTTTTCAGTGTACATGAGGAGAGTTTCAATGTCTTATTCCTGACCAAGCGAAAAGTAGATCGGTTCAACTGCGAAAAAAGTAAAGAACATTTTCTTCAAACCGGATCAACCAAGAGTGGAAAAATGGTTTAAAGAAGACTCCGATGACTATGAGGTAGTTGCTTGTGTCTGCAAAGGTCCAGCTCCGTTCATAGAAAAGTAAATGTTGCCGATTTCTGCCCTGATAGTGAATGAACACTGAATCATCTAAATAAATGGGCACAAGGTGTTGTGATCCTGTTCTAGGCAATTGTTTCACACAGCGTAAAGTATATCTACACTAAAGGTCCCAAGCCATCGTTTTACGCCTTCAGGCTGAAAATTTGATTGTTCCCTTCAATGCGCTTTTGCTACTGTAGTAAATTTATCTGATCTGAGCTGGACTTTCGCGGACAAAAGCGATTTCACATTATTATTTGCAACTACTCCGAATTCTTCTTTCAACTTTTTGTTCTGCTCTTGGTGGATCCGGTTTGAAGAAAACGGACTTTGCATTTTTCGCAGTTGAACCGATCTACTTTTCGCTTTGTCGAGAATAAGACGTTGTAATTTTTCCCATGTTTCCCGAAAACTCAGACCTGATGCGTTCAGCCAGACCAAATGTGTTTTTTCATCCTCCGTTAAGGCCATCATGTAGGGACTGACAGCTATAACTTGTTTTTCACGAACAGAGACCATAACGCAACATACCTAATTTTGATTACGTAATCCAAATAATGTTTTAATTTGAAGTTTTCTCGGATTTATTACCACACCCAACTCATCTATTTGACTGTTTTTATGATAAATGTGATTGTACAAACTTGAAGGTGAACTCACCGAAAATATCTTCGCCTAGATTGTGTTCCAAAAATATCTCTATGTAACAATCTTTGTGACAAATAAACAGTTCTGTACTTGGTCGTAGGTGACATACTGACAGGTTGCTCAGACCAAATCAGTTGAATCCTCTTGAGGTATGCACAATCGGGATCTTCGGCTAGCCTAAGTCTGACCTGCAAGACAGCTCGGTTTTGTCTAAAAACCGTAATCCTTTGGAGTCGGCGTCCAGCTAATCGAATCATACCCATCATCATCAAATATCGGTGGCGCATCAAGTCGATGTCCTGTAGCAGAACCAAGAAGGTGTGCATATGGTTGGTCCGTCACGTCACGACCATGAATTAAGCTTCCGCATCAGAGACTATTTGATACGCTCGGTCGTACATCAGCATTTCGCGAGTTGACCACTCAATGCGGAAAACACAAACTTGACCGTACTGGGGTTTTTGGAAGCCCTTCCGTAATAAGTAGTTGCCTTGTGGGTGTCATGTAGTTTTGCATAGTATGAGCAAATGTGTCCTTATTCCTGAATCCATCAATGTTCTTCCTGTGTTTAAGTGTGAGCCTCCTAAAGTCAGTCGCATAGTGCAGCCGTTGAAAACTTACCTACCGTATTTGACATTGCATCGCACCCGATTTGAACTCCATGCGTTCAATGAAGCAAATAATGTGGAGGTTGGACAAAATGCGTGCAATCGGCTTAGAGAGTATCAACTTAAACGAAGGAAATTGCGGTCGATATCATACAAAACTGTTCTGACTCAGGATACAAACCACGTGTACCAAATTTTATATTCACATCTGTTCGCGTTGTTTCACTGGGACAAAGAGATAGCAAAGACTAAATCAGTTGTCAATATGTAGTTTCTTCATCCCTGTGATCACCATTGTTTTTGTGTTCTGGCAACCCGGAAAGATTCATTACGATCATATCGCTGTTCTGTTCCGATGGGAAATGTGACAACACCCGGCCATATATGGATCGTTCTTACATTCGCGGCTAAATCAACTTTCTGTTTCCTTGTGATTCCCCCTATAGGCTTCACTTTCGTATCGCATTTTTTTTCTTGTGACTGAATTCATTTAATAGTTTTCTCATTGGGCTGTTTTGGGGTCACAGCACATGATTTGTCTCCCTGTTTTTACGTTCCAGGTATTTGTTGGTTTAGGCTTTCCATACGAAGGTCCCGCGCCACTTGAGGCTATCGCGAATGGTGTGATTTTTCTCAATCCTGTGTTCAAAACGCCTCATTCACGAAATAATACAAAATTTTTCGCCGACAAACCCACATCACGTGAGGTAAGTCAGCATCGTAAACGTTGTTGTGTCGTTTCCTGTTTATGTGCAGCCTGTCTGCGTCTATTTACGCTGCGCTTATGTTGGCGTTGCTGTATATCGGCATTTGCCGTCCCGGATCTGTTGCTCCATCATCAGCATCAAAATCGTTCAGCGGAATACTGCGAAGTGAGCTTTACTGATTGCTGACAAACTCACAATGCATACAGAGTGAGTGATAACGTGTAAGGCGGATAGGGGTTGGGTCTATTTTGGTGAGCGGGGAAAGAAAGCGAGTCTTTGTGGTCAACACACAGTGCGCAGTCTAACAGTACATACCTACTTTTTTAAGTATTCTGTTATGATTAGAAATGAGAACGAATACATCACTGTTGTCGGTTTGCTGTCATTTCCTTACGGAGTCTTTTTGACCCCAGCCTGGAAGACAGGAGACACCTACTCTACCTAATTGGTTTGTGCATTTCTTCTTGTCTCGTCTCCAAATTTTATGTTAACCTCCGTCTGGTTTCCTGCAACCCGAATTGGCAACTACAAATAAGATGCGGTGTGGTAGGCGACCGCTATGCATCCGCAACACGTATTCTAACCAGTAAAGCCTATTGAGCTGAATTTGATATGGTAGTACATTTGTCCTCGAGGCATTTCCAAACACGCGAGGACTTACATCTAGGTTACTAACTCGCCCTCCCTATTCCATCTGGGCCAAACTACGTCAGTGTTGATAGTCGAAAACTTCTAGTCGATTGGTATATTAAACCCGCGATTCAAGGTTCAAGGTTCAGTTTTTAGAGCCGCTAACCATGAACTTTGGTCGCGGTCTTTGGACTGCCTATTTGCAGAAAAGTGCATAAGGAGGATTGGAATGTCGTGAGCAGAGTCAATAGTAATGAAAAAACTGACCGAACCGTGGCACAATATACGCGACTTTTTGACCTCTGTAAAACGTCATCTCAGCGTCACAGGCGCTTCATTACTGTGTGCATCCTCAAATCCTGGAGATGCGTACGATTATCTCCTTAGCTGCGTTACCGTTTCTGGCCACACAACTGCCAAAGTGCGAGGAATAAACAAATTCAACCAATTTTCTGACCATCGAGTTTTATACAGCCAGTTTTTTTCAGCATCGTTTTTCACTTTGAACACGTGAAGCGCGTACGGAATGTGGCAACAGAAATGATCAATTTGAAATGCGCTTTGAGTGTCCTCCATACATTCAAATAGTCACAAGATGTCGTCAGCCTGCTCCAAATCACGTAGTTCTTCTCCAACTACCAATTCCGTAGTAATCCATTCCATAGTAATCCTTTAAAGGTCACTCATTGCGTTCTTCAGTATTTCTTCTATGTTGAAATTGCACCGGAATCTCGAAATAGGGCACCCTCACAAATACCGATGTTGCTGTCAATCGATTTGCTTAGTTTGCCGTTGGCCCCAACACTACGAAAAGTTTACGAATGCAGTGACCTCAATATGTTTGCCTACTTGAGTGGCACTTCTTTACGAAGAAGCGAACCCAATAAGGCTTCGCAGTTAGCTAACTCCAAGGCTCCTTTTAAGTCGGGGTACAGTGAGATTTTTCATCGGCGATATGTGTGGCATAGCTCGAGGACTTGACGCAACGTGAAGTTGTGATCAATACTAAGTACAGAATTTGTTTTCTTTTGGTTTTCTTTTAATGTTTTAAACATTTTTTAATGGATATTACCCAGTGAAGTGATCTTAGATCACAATAATAATAACAATAATACTTACTGTTATTATTATGACAATAATAGTTGAACTCTGTGGTAGTTGGGATCAAAGAAGTACTGGTCGTGATGGTGTTGTCGATCGACAAACCGACTGCCTGTTCTTATTGGTGTAGATGGCTATGCTCGAGAAATTAATGTATATTCCAAGTCCTCAAGGTGAATATTTTCGTTCCTTTTCTTGTGTGGAGTATTGNATGCGTGTTTTTAAACGAACTTTATGCAGATGAGCTGAAGCAGCTACGTCCTCAACCCAGAGTTAGAACGGCACATTTTCCCGAAAATTCAGTAGATCTCATGTTGTCCCAGTAGATTTTAGCAACTATGCTTGTTATTTAATGTGCACAGTATGAGTATGACGCTCTTTCGTTTCTCCTCGTTTTTTTGTCCTCATTTGTTTTTATTCCATGTATCTTATGAGCGGGGAAGGTGTTAATGGTTTTCTTCTTCTTGTAATTTGAAAGAATCCCATATTGTATTGATGTATCTGTGTCGCGTTCGATCTTGCCTCTACTCCTTCATCCAAGCAAAACCACTGGGCGAAATTGCAAGGTCATTGGTTATATAGACAGAAAAAATCAAACATTTTTCGCTTGAACTGTCTTTATAGCCCGATAACGATTTTATGCCTGTCACACACAATCCCTCGTATTTTTTATTCGCCTGGCACTGCAGTTGACTAGTCAGCAACCTTATCTGGAACGATATGTTGGTGAACCGTACACTTATTTGATCGAAACGGACAATCCGGATCAAATCCGACAAACTGTGCGCCGTTTGATGTCGCAGAAGAAGGTGAGCCTGTGTGCTTTGACTATTTGTGCAGATCGGGTTTTCACCTTTACCACTTGGTATTCCCGATCAAGCCGTCCAAATCCAGCAGGTTATTTCGAATCCAACCACCGTCACCAAACTTTCGCTGGTCCGTATGTTCCTGGGTGACTTGTGCCCGGCGACAGCCGCCCTCACTATTGTATGTTCAATGAACGAAGAAGGAATTGAAGGATAATAAGTATTATAATAAAAGTAGTGAACTAGGATAAAGAGATTTGAACCCCCACTTAATTATCAGTGGTTAATAACCTTCAGGTAAAAAAATCCTCACACCAGATAAAGTTGGAAAACCCGTTATTTTTAAGTACGGTATTGCCTAGGTCAAAGCTCCTGTTACCCTTCCCGTGATAGAAGATTAAACCCTTGCAATTATGTGGTTCACTCTTTCTTTCGTGCTACACGCACGACAGAAAGGAGATCTCATCTTGCAACGTGGATGATCATAGTTAATTACCGGGAAACGGTTTCGGTGATCACTTGAAAACCTGAATCACCACAATCAAAGAAGACATGGAGCACCTGGGTCTGTAAGCCATAGCTTTCGAAGCTGGAATTTGTTATTATTATTTATTGTGTAAAAGTCATGGTTATTTATAGGGAAGAGAGAACATGCGAATTCATATATCCAAAAATTGGTTGACTGGGTTGTTGTCAATAATTCTTGATTTGTTGGCTGTTCCGATCAACCACCTTAGTTCAAGGCATTCCCAAGGGATATGCCTGAACCGACAAAAACTTCAATCTGCCAAAGTTGAAGAATTAACCTTGCCTTAGAAGTTTATTCGGTGGACTCCGGTAAATCCTAAGGAAAACCTGTCGGGGCAGTTAGCTTACATACGAACTGTAGGATGCCATATGCCTCTGTAATTTGGATGGGTAATTCGAATGTGAAAAGATCACTGCTATCAGTGTGGCTTCGTAGCTCAGCTAGTAGAGCGTGCGCTGTACAAAAGCGTAGGCGGTGTCCATGCGTGGCTACTTTTCAGTCTCGACATAAAAACCACAACCTGCTAAAGAACAATTTGAACAAGATTAACAATGCCAATTGATAACCAAAGTGCAAACGAGGGAGTTCATCACTCCGTCAAGAGATCATTGAAATGATGTCAAAGCTCCCATGTGTACATGGGACAGTATGACGCATGGATGAGACAGAGGACCAAGATAAAGCAACCCGATACTATAATCAGAAGGTAGGGTGAGTCAGACCATATCAGGGTCAGGGACAATGGTCACGAGAAGAGACTGGGGGGGGGGGATAAACGAGCTTGATGGACGATCAAAGAAATGGAGTCATTCGTGGTGAACGAAAAGTGCATGTCTGGTGATCGATAGTACGCACGGGGTAAGACAATGACGAATGAGAGAGAGGTGACTAAACAGATTTGTGGGTGAAAACGTGTGGAGGGTGGCAAACAGATCTAACAATCATACTTTATAGATAACAATACGGTTACAAAAAGCCTTGATTGTCAAAATGCTCTGCTTCCTGGCAAATCCGTGAAACGCGTCGTTAGAATCACGGCCCTTGCCCTACCGACGTGCCATCCAAACACTTGTACGCGCCATCTCAACAGTAACGTGCCTAAGGTGTTCTTCTCAAGCAGGGTAATACAGGTGTGAGTGCCTTATAGTGTTCTATAAGTTACGTTGAAGAATGTGAATCTGAGGTCAAAATAGAACAATCTACCTACGATCAGGTTTAATGTTGAGCCAATCGAAATAAATATCCTTGGAAATGTTACCAGAATAGACTGTTTGCTATAGCTATGATATAGTTCCTTGATACATGCGCACTCGAAGTTTACGGCTGAAGTCATGCTACTAAACCGAATACGTTCAGGCCTAATATAACATTCATGCATTACATGTACATTCGTCACCGGCAATTCTCTTCCATTCGAGGGTTTCTGTTTACGTTTAGCTTCGTAAAGAACTGTGGGAAGATTGCCCTCCACTGATCACGTAATTTTAAGGGAAAAACGTAACGTATGGATTGTTGCTTTGATAGGAGAACCACAAGGAGACTCCAACTTGGGTATATTTATCAACCAAATCAAAACAGACTGTCTACCACCCCGAATGATCTATACGTTACCCGCTGCGTTGTTCTTTCACCGTATTTTATTTTTTCCCATTCGGTTTATTGCTTGAGTGAGTGATTTTGCATTTTCTAATAAGGCGTTTCCTTTTATTTGTGTATCTGTATGCTAAAGTGACCAACACCAAGCATCCCTAATTGATCACCATAGGGATTCATCTAAATACTGNGCCTTGTGGTGTTGTTGCTCACATGCGGACACGCATGTTTGGAGTGCTCGAATATGCATTTGTGCATACAGTACAGTTTTGTCCTCAGTAGGTCAATCCGTATTCGTTGGGTTCAGTTGTATGCTCTTTCTGTTGAACTGTGAATTACACCTTTTTAAAGTGACTCCTTCATTCGTAGTTACTGCTGTTTCTGCTGTTCATTTCTTGTTCTTCATTGTGCCGGAATTCTGTGCACCTTATGATATGTGGACACTCAGTAGTTGTTTGAATGATAGTATCACCATCGATGTTCTGACGTCTGACTTCCTAACCTCTTATGAATATTGTGGGGTCTGACGCGAATTGTTGTCAAGTATCCATGTACAGTGTGAAATACGTTCTGAGAAAGACTATGTTCACCGTATTTAGGACTTGATGTATTGCAATGTATACTAAAGTATATCACACGAAAACGTACAATCGCGTTGGAATGTACGCGCTTTTATTCGATGGACATTTTTCCAACTTGCTGTTGAAATGTACAACCGGGGCGCGATAACTCTGACTATCTTCATAGTTTCTAAATGCTGTACCTCGCGTTCATCTATGTCTTCTGTTGTTCTGCACGTTGTTCTTTCCTGGTTGCTTCAACTGATTGGTTCATTCTAACAGTGATTTCATTCGGAATCGCTTCGAGTCTCTCCTAGTGCTACCAATTTGCTCTCTTCGCTATATCTTTTTCTCAACCCTATAGTGTCGACTGAATATGTATACATGCAATGCAATATCAGATGGACGCCAAAAGTGCTTTCGCCTAGCGTAAGCTATTGGCAAACATTTCCACTTGGCTCATGTGCCAAGTAGTCATCTGTAACGGACTGATAAATGAAGGCCATGTGTTTAGGGTGTTCCAGTTCTGTTTCAAAAGTTCTTGAAAATGTATTCACATGCTTCCAGTATCGAGAATATAAGTAAGTAAGAGGCTGAATTCCCGTTCTGATAGCGATCCACTGGTTGATTATTTGACTGCTACGATGCACTGAATTCCTCATTCCCCCCCTTACGTTTGTATAAATCAAAACCTCAAATCGCTAAAGCCCACTAGGTTTATTTTAGGTAACGGGCGACTCAAGTCGTGCGATTCGGAATTGAGAACTCTAAAGGACTGCGATAGGATACATGTTTTATTGAATAGGACGATTGCCATACTGCCTACTCAAAACATGGTTAGCCTTGATCGAGCCGCTCAGGTCGCTCTCCTGTGTGTACGTTTACCGATCACTGTAAGTCAAACAGTTTAAGTGCTGCCACTGTTTAGCTTAAGTGGGAATAGTGGTAACTATGAATACACACAACGTTTTGATTTTCAGTTGCTCACGGAGCTCCGCTAGAAACTGCACACCGAGATACAACAACAAACAATGTTGTTTGAGCACATATTGGGTGGCACAATAGTAAGGTGAGTCTCTGAGGGAACTTACTGTGTGTGTGTGTGTGCACTGCACAGTTGTTTAGACGCAAAAAACAAACCCAATAATCTCATTCCTGACCATTAGGTTTGAAACTTTGTGAACTAGGTCATACAGTAGCACTTTGGTCTGGAAATATGCACTGTTCTTACTAAATGGAGCTGTTTTCCGTGGGAGCTTAGCAAATGCACTTATCTCATAATCAGTGTTTCAAGCAGCCTACTTTTTTAATATCTTAGTTACAAACTTTTGTCAAGTCATCTCTCCGTTTTCCCAAATTCGCCCCATAGTGCTGTGTTTGACGTAAATTCAACTCGATAAATATTGATACAATTGCCACGCAATAGTCCGGCTTTGAAAACTTATTCCGTGCGCTGAATTCGGAGATCCACTGGATGTCTCCGGAGTGTTCTTCGAAGGCCAGTATGAAGTATGTACCCGAGGAAAGAGATTAATTGATCGCTAAGTAGGTGAATGCTGAACCAAAAGACCGGCTCAAATACTGGTGAACAAAGAAAGGCACAGGCTACCAAGAAAGTGGAATTCATGTTTCCATTTCGTAGTCATCAGGCGTATTCGCAAAATGGTATTTTCTTTGTACGAAGTTCTAATAATCTGATTTTTCTTCGCTTCATGTGAGTTAACCAAGCAAATGTCCTCATAATTTGGGCACCTTTCAATTACGGTGGAAAGACGAGCTTTCCAAACTACAATGTAAGCTGGGAACCATATGACGAGTTATTCCATTTACATGCAGCATTTTTTTACATCTGTGATAAAAGCTCACTGTTTTAGCAACTTAAATCAACACTGATCTGTGATATTAGTAAACCGTCGAATAGGGTTTCTCACTCGTTCTAAATCATCCAATCGATCGTATGTACTTGTCTCACCGGTTCGGTATTGGAGTACCGACTTCAATATCTGCTAGTATATGGCGAGTTCGTCGTGTATCGATCAATTGAAGCGTGGACTGAAAGGTTAGGAGACAACGGACAGCCGTTTAAATCAGACTGGGCAAACTAAAACACAGTCTGATCAGCTACCTGGTGATCGAGTGGGTAGGATGCTTGCGTTCTACTTCTGAGGTCCCGGATTCGAACCCCAGTTGAGTCGATGGATTCGCACTGCTGCTGAGACTCAGTCAAGCTGTGACAGCTGTCCCGTGTTTCTTAATTCTTCAGTTCACATTTCTTTTCTCTTCAAACAACGAAATTCACCGTATAATGGAATCGAATTCTCCATTCCTGTCATCCACTAGTATAGGCTGACACCATGACAAAAATTTACCTCTTAACTGTCCAACCATCTTTACTGCACCGAGTGACGCTCCTGATAACCAAACGCAACAATAAGTCATTGAAGAAAAGATAATTATGGAAAAATCCAGATGTTTCCCGTAGAATTTGTTCAATATATCTCCCATCACTTTGTTTACGCAACACCACTGGAGTAGGTGGTAATATATCAAAATGATTGGTGGAAATCACAGTGAGCAATCCGCTGTGGCCATTCAATGCCAGCATGTGAACAGTATAGGGTTCATAATCTATTTTCCTCTGCTGGTTCGAGAATCACAAACGATCGATCGGATGGCCCATCTGCATCAGTTGAAGTGACGGTTGCCCAGTTCTTACTGGCTGGATCCGATAACTTGTTGACCGCCAGAATAGAGGCATCATCACACTACTCAATAACAGCTAACAACAAATGTATCCCAAACACTACGAGCCTGTGATCAGATGGTCTCGTGTTAGGTTGGCAGATTACAACTCACAGAAGTAACGGAAAATTATCCAATCAAATTTTACTACAGTGCGATGGCTCCATCGTTTCACATCGTCTTGTCCCTCTCACTCGTGATCTCCTCTCCGACCCTCTCTGCGATCTGATTGGATCATTTTCCGCGATTCGTGGCACTTGGGATCCCTCACCCCAACACGAGACTGTCTGATTACCGGCCTGTACGTTTTACAATGCTCTTGATCTCACGTCCAGACCATCCGTGTGATGAAGACACTTCTGCTGTGCAGTCGAAGTTTACTGTGCCTGCTTACGACTCGCGGCTGTAAACAAGGTGTGGTTTCTCATTCAGATTAGCTGGGAAAGCACCAGGTTCTTTGTTGCGTCTGAACTATCCGACTAATCGATAAATGAACCTGATCGGTCGTGTGATTTTCGAGCCGGCATAAGAGGAGGGTAAGTTCTGAATCCGATGCAGCTCAAGTGTTGATTTATCAACACTAGAATCACCACAGCAAAATCAGTGGTGGAACGATGTGCCATGTGGGAATGGAAAAAGTTAAAGCGATGATGACACCGGGTCAATGCTTGATTCGTCTAAGACACACGCACTATTTTTCCATTTTTATAAGTGGGTTCGGTAAGCGGATAATTATAATAAAACTTTGAGCTTGTCTTGAGTGCGGACTACAATATCCACTAATGTAGGCCCGCGCAAAATTCTTCTTGGCGTTTTCCCAACTGGCTCTTTTCACGTTGAACAATCTTGCTTACTACATAGTAGACAGCATTCCCAAATAAAGAAAGAACAAATGTTATGGAAAATGTATATTTATTTTTAAAAAGTTGTTTTCCATTCTGCTGTTTGCAAAACAAAATACGGTGAAGGTAGTTTCCTCCCACCTTTAGAATGGTAGCAGTTGAAATGCTTTCGCACTACGCAATCATAATCTGTATTAGATCCTAGATCGTTCTCGGTTTTCGGGAATAAACGGTTCCCTTTAGATATCCCTACAGGATGAAATCCTAGGGAGACGATGTGGATCGAACGGGCAGTCACTCGGTATTTGCGAAACTGACTTCTTTTGAGTCATTTGACCTGCATTATGAACAATACTACCTATATTCATTTTAGTAGTTACATTCTGTTTTCAAACAGTTTTCAACAGTACTAGCACTGCCTTCGCTCTGCCTGTTTTGACCAGCTCCACAACTCACTGAACATGTCCTTATGTTGAGATGGGAAGTTAATCATTTAATGTTGCTTCATCTCAATATATTTTTTATTTGTCATGTTTAGCTAAATCTTTTCTGCTCAATTACTTTCTTTTAAAATGGTATTTTCTAATTTGTTTCCGGAAGTTTAATGCTCGCATCCAATTCGTTGATCTTATATGGTTGGCTACCGCAGGCACTCGTTTGATGACTTCCGAAGGTTATGATATCCTTAAATAGCCGGCTTTTTACTGATTGAAATATATATTGGAATTTTTTTGTGTATCAACGTATCGGTTTCATTGTTTTGGATTTTTCCTGTGCAACTTTTTACATAATGCGCACAACTAAGTGGATGCTGTTATCCCCATATTTCCTTTCTATCCCGTTATAAAATGCATTCATGGCTGTTATCTAGATCGAGCCATACGTGCCGTTCGAGTTCACTACCACCGGTTATCTGGAACGTTTAAACGCCTTCCTCAGTCGGCAGTCTTTCTGCACCGGTCCTGAACGTCTGGCCCTTT